CAAGAGCCCAGCCCAGGGCCAGAGAGGTGGGGGGGAAACAGGTGGCTCTGGGCTGAGGAGCAGCTGGAACAAAGGCCCTGGGGCCCAATTTGGGAGCTGGGGTGGGCCCAAGGTCCTTGGAGGGAGCAGCAAGAATCTTGGGGAGGCACATGGTCAGACCCTTGGGACAGGGACCCGGGGGCGGGGGCAGCCTGTCAGGGAGAAGGGGAGACCCAGCCACACCTGCCTTCACAGCATGGCCTAGGCCCTCCCCAGGCCTGGCCTCAGGAGGACAGATGTCCCATCAGTGAGGGTCCCCGAGGGCTCTCCAAGGTCTGCCCACGGACACCAAATTCCAGCTGTTGGGGCTCCCTCCCGAAGCCGCCTCCCCCTGGACCTCTGCAACCTCAGAGGCGGGGAGCCCTCATGCCTCAGCCCCGGGATGACCAGGGGGCGGGCCAGTGTCCCCCCATGTCCCCCATGCCCCCATGCCTCCGTGCAGGGATGGCCCCGTGACTCAGCCCAATGGCCCGCACCTGCTTGCATGTGTGCTGTGGGGAAGGGGCCGCGCCCCGAGGACCGTGGTCGCCTTGGGAGCCGCGGGGCAGGAAGAGCCGCTCCTCCCTCTGCCCGTGGTCGCGTGTCAGTTCCCACCCCTGCGCTTGTCTCCTCATTGTTTGTAAGCTTGTCAGGAGCAGGGGCTAGATGTGAAGCCAGTTTTCTCTGCTGAATACTTAAGGGTGAAAAACATTTCTCTTCCGTAGAGAAAGGCGTAGACACAGATGAGCTGTGTGTGTGTGTGTTTACGTGCGTGTCCCAGATCTTGTTAAGAGATTAATTCAATCTAATAATTCCCCGGGCCGAGGAGTAATTGATTTTGATGGATCCCAGGGCCGCGCAGAGCTCGGTCATGTGACCAGAGCCCTGATGGAAGGGATTGAGCCCTGGGCGGGCGGCCCGCTGCCATCGGTGTCATTTCCATGTGGGGAAATTAAGCCCATTCATCACGACTAATTTCCAGGAGGCGCATTGGGAAAGCAATTGAGTTGTCTGGGTGCCCCAGGGGGCTGAGAGGGCAGAGGCAGGCCTGGGTGAGGTGCCCACGGACCCAGCAGACCACCTGGCGGGGAGCCGTCCGAATGGCCCAGACCACAAGGCTTGTCAGGACGCGGCTGAGAGTTGGACGGACGGTTGTGCATTTTCACGAGGAAGGAAACAAAACCGAGCTTGGCTCCTGGTGGCCCCCTGGCGACGGTCGTTGTGCAGGGCTGGGCCAGGCTCCTGCCTGCGCGGCTCTGCTCACAGGCCTCTGCTGGCAGGGGGCCGCGTGAAGACCTGGAAGCGGCGGTGGTTCATCCTCACGGACAACTGCCTCTATTACTTCGAATACACGACGGTAAGCGAGGGCGGTGGCCGGCTCCCTCCCTCTGTGGCAGGACCCCCAGGGCAGCCCGTGAAGCTGGCTGCGTGCTCCTCTCTCGCAGGATAAGGAGCCGCGGGGGATCATCCCGCTGGAGAACCTCAGCATCCGGGAGGTGGAGGACCCCCGGAAGCCCGTAAGCTGCCTTGCTCCTGCCACCGTCTGTCCCTCTGCCCGCTCCGGCACTCCCACGCTGGCCGCTGGGGCTGGGGGGGGAGGGGCGTGGACGAAATATGACCACCTCCCCGGCCCTCCTGACGGTCCCTCTCTGTCCCACCAGAACTGTTTCGAGCTTTATAACCCAAGCCACAAGGGGCAGGTCATCAAAGCCTGCAAGACGGAGGCGGACGGCCGGGTGGTGGAGGGCAACCACGTGGTGTACCGCATCTCGGCGCCCAGCCCGGAGGAGAAGGAGGAGTGGATGAAGTCCATCAGGTGAGGGGGCCGCGGGCCGGCGCTGCCGGGGCCCAGGCTGTGGACCAGGCTCGGGCTGTCAGTACAGTGTGGTTATTGGTAAAAGCCTCGTGATTCTTAGGATCACAGCACGCCCTTCAGTAACCATCAGAAAGCTTTGAAAAGATGCAGAGTTCTTACTTAAAAGACCCGGAAATGACACAGCTGACGTGGGGCCACCCTGTGAGGGGACGGGGATAGTGTCACACAGGCCTGGGAGCTGCTTTTATTGGGGGCGAGGGTGGGAGCCTAGAGTTTTGAGGGCTCACTCTTTATTGGTGAAAATTAAAACTCTCGTACGAGTGGGAATTCAAAGTGCAGGAGGAGAAAACAAGCAAGTAGCCTAAATGGTCGCCTCCTGAAATCGAGATCTCTGACACCCAGGAGCACGGGGTGGCCTGGCCGGGTCTGGCCGCCGCAGCATCCTTGGGGTGGGTGGCGGCCTTGCTGTCACAGTGGAGTCAGGCCTTGTGTTAGGAGTTAGAGGCGCAGACGGCGGGGCTGACAGCACAGGCTTCAGGCCCGCACGGGTCTGCTGCGGGCACCCCTGCACTCGGAGGCAAATCGAGATCTCTGACACCCAGGAGCACGGGGTGGCCTGGCCGGGTCTGGCCGCCGCAGCATCCTTGGGGTGGGTGGCGGCCTTGCTGTCACAGTGGAGTCAGGCCTTGTGTTAGGAGTTAGAGGCGCAGACGGCGGGGCTGACAGCACAGGCTTCAGGCCCGCACGGGTCTGCTGCAGGCACCCCTGCACTCGGAGGTGTGTGTGTGTGTGTGTGTACAGGTGTGCACGGGTCTGCTGCGGGCACCCCTGCACTCAGAGGTGTGTGTGTGTGTGTGTGTGTGTGTGTACACGTGTGCACGGGTCTGCTGCGGGCACCCCTGCACTCGGAGGCGTGTGTGTGTGTGTGTGTTTGTGTTTGTGTACACGTATGTGTGCACGGGTCTGCTGCGGGCACCTCTGCACTCAGAGGCGCACCTGTCTGGTTGGAGAGCCCGCGGCGGAGGGGCGCACCTGACTCCGTGTTTCCGTGTCCCCAGAGCGAGCATCAGCAGGGACCCTTTCTACGACATGCTGGCCACGCGGAAAAGGAGGATTGCCAATAAAAAGTAGCTTTCCTCGCCGGAACAGGTAAAAAGCAAAACCAAAACCCCACAGCAGAGGGGCCGGGTGAGCAGCCCAGGAAGCGGTGCGCCAGCGCGGCCCACGGGCCCGCCGAAGCCTCACGCGCGCGTCTGGTGAGCGACACCGGGCGTTTCCCTCCCGCCAACCTGGGCCTCGCAGCCGTGTCCACTCGTCCTCCTCGCGGTTCCTGTGGCAGCGGCGCCTGGGAGTTGAGCCGCGACCATCCACGCAGCAGACTCAGGCGCGAGGTCTGCCGCGGAACCTTGCTCGCTCCAGTCGCCACACATGCTCATTCGTGATGGTGTTCACTGTTCTAGAAGCTTCTGTTTTATATCAAAACAGGAAAGAAAAGCTACCACTTTTTTATTCAGATTTTTTTCTCAGATATATAGGACTCTAGCTTTTATATGCCTTTTTATATTCTGAAATTATGAGAGATACTTACTTTCTGATAGTATTTTTAGAATGGCAGCTATAAACGTAACTCTCGCCACAAGTATGTACTGTGCACTGAACAGAAGTGATGTAGACACTATATATGCAGCAGCCGGGCGGGCACCGCTCGGGGGGCGCCCTCATCCCTCCTGGGACAGGGAGGGTCCGATTCCCCGGGGACCCCTCAGCTCAGGCCTGGTGGCCCCCCAGACACTTCCTAAAAAGGCCAATCAGTACCGTTGATGATTGGGGGCATTTGTCCCATAACTCAGAGCCCCAGCACAGACCTGTGTGGAACCAGATGAAACTGCCCGTGTGGGACGCCCACAAGCCGGTTTCATCGGTTCCACTGAACACGGGGCTGGTTCAGCCGGCGGCCACTGCCTTCACTACTGAGAACCTTCGTGCAGAGAGGACACTTGTGTCCCTGCTCTGACCGTTGACCAGGTTCCTCACTAGGACCGAAGGCATGGAAGTAACGAGAGACACGCTCACTGCACGTTGCGGAGCGGGGCGGTGTGGCGCTTAGGGTTTCCTGTAAACGGTGCACAGCCCCAGGTGCACGCCGTGGGGCACCTCGCAGGCCCAGGACCGTGTGCTGGCCGGGCCCCAGCACATCCCAGACCGACCGAGGCGCACAGGTGGCGGGGCTGGAGCCGTGCCGGCTCTCCTCTCCAGGACACACGCCTTTCTTTTCCTTGGGGCTTTGTTCCTGTCGCCAGGACGGCCTTGCCCACGGGGCTGTTCTAGTGGTGGGCCCCTTCCCACGCCAGCTCCTCCCCCTGCCCGTCCGCTTGGGCACACCCTGGACGTGCACCCTTTAGAGGTCTCCCCGTCAAAGCCCAGCCCGAGAAGTAGAAGCCGACTGACCTGTGCACGGACGTGGAGATCCGACGGCAGGAGGAACTTCCTGAGCGCGGCCTTGCTGAGACTGGGTGGCCGTGGGCCTGGGCCTCGAGCTGCTGATCTTGACGTAGCTTTAAGTCACACTAGACTACAAAGGGCTGAGCCCACGGCCCTCCGACATGCATCAGATGGGCTCTTCTGGCTGATTCCCAAGCTCTTCGGCTTTGTTATTGTACCGATACCTCAAATTCGAAGCTTTAGTTTTTGAGAAAGGCAAGTCTTCGTTCTCAAAATGCCCGGCTGCTGCATGTGCAACTCTGGCCTCCACACACAGACGCGGCAGCGCTGCCCCCGGGCTGGCCGCATGCGCAGGACTGCCCGCTCCATCAGTCCCCACGCGTGGACATTGTCCTGTGACCCAGGTAGGACCCTGGGGAGACAGGCTTTCTGTCTCTCGGGTGTGGCCTCAGCGGGGCTGGGAGAAGTGGACGGGAAACCCTGGAGGGATGTTTCTCTGGCCGCCTGTGAGGGGGACTCGGTGCAGAAAGCCATGGTGCTTAAGCTGTGTGCTTGCCTCAGAGCTACGGGAAACCACCCAGGTCCCGGTTTCGTTGTGACAGTATTAACCTAACAGGCACAAAGCCATCACCCCCGAGCCCTCAGGCAGGCCTGGTCTGAAAAACCCACCAGACGCGGAGCTGGCGGCCCGGTGCCTGGGCCAATATGATCATGTTCATCCTCTTCCTGCCCCCCCCCCCCCCCCCCCCCCCTGCTGTTTTATTATCCCCACTCTGGCCAAAGACATGCTCCCTGAGACCCAGGGCAGGCGGCGAGGGGCGCTGGGCAGATGCAGCAGCCCCCCAGCCCACAGCCTCTGTTGGCAGAGACCCAGACAAGCAAGCGTCCTCAGGATCACAGGACATTTTGAGCAGTTTAACGTGGTACCAAACTGAGTCCCGACAGAAGCTATTTCTAGGTGAAGCGATGCCTATTTTTCAAGTTAAGATGCACAGACCTACGTAGATGCACTTTGCCGAAAAGTTAGGTCTGGTGTAGACCAGAAGCCACACGTGATTTCTTGTTTTCTTAGAAGACATTTCTATTTACAGTAAATATCGTTAGTATGTAAATAATGTACATATATGTTGATTCCTGGAGTGTTTATTCAATGTATATACTCCCACAATTTGCATGAAGAAATATCGTACATCAGTATTTTGTTGTAAATAGTAAAACTGGAGGGGGTGTGGCTGTCAAATACTATGTTCACGGAATAAAAGGAAATGCATTGTTACAAGACTGCCGAAGACTTGGTTCTTTGAAACAGATTGCTGGGGCCAGCAACCCTGCCCCCATCTCCACCCCCCACC